ATGCAAACTTGGTATATTTTGAAGATTCTTCTGTTTTGCTCTTTACTGCACTCCTCAATTTTGGATCCATCAAGTGATGTCTCTTATGGAGTCCTGCAAATGGGGTCTTTCCATCCCGTTCCCACTAAGTGTGTTCTAGTTTTCCATGTGACTTCTTATGCTGTTTCCAACCTCATCCATTTGCTCAAGCTACCCTTCTTTGAATCCTGTTCCCTTCCCAACTGCCCTTGGCCTCTCTTTGAAAACACAGCCCGGTCTTCCCAGCATTCCCCGAGCCAACACATGCACCACCCTCTTCTCTCCTTTGTGCCCTGAGTGTCCGTTGACTTGAGTTGTACAGCTTTTGAACGGTCCTTTTGTGCGCTGATTGGTTTTCACGTGTCCCTGCCTCTGGTACAATAGAGAGCAGAATCTGTCTTTCGTTTGCATTGCCAGCTTTTCCCAGGATAATGCCTATGATGTGGTAGATACAGTAAATATGTTCTGTCTCACTGGCTGAGGGCCTGAATGGCCAAGTCATGAGTACGATGGCTTCTGAAGGTGGGTTTTTAATATTCTTTTCTTTTGTTTTTATAGGAAAGGGTGACCGAGCCAGAAGTTAACAAAACATGAACCTGGTACTGAAAGGGATGCAGGCGATGAAGGTGGTCCAGAGGAGCCAACAGATGAGAAGGAATTGACGTCTGTGGATGGACCAGACAAACCTGACAGGTCCGGTAAGCGAGTGAACATTTATGGAGTTTGACTTTTCTTATCCCTGTGCTTAAAAGCTACGATCAGGCCAGGCTTGGGTACAGCTGATTGGTAGTTGGATGGCATGCTTCAGAGGCAGGAGTTCCTGGGTTCAATCCCCAGTACCTCCGCTAAAAGGAAGAAATGAAAATCCAGCGCACAGTATCTGAAGAGTGTAGATCCAGATACCACATCCATTACTGTTTGTTTTCCTTTTGCCAGCTGTCTTCCTACATGGCCCAACCACGACCAGGTTTTTCTTTAAGAAAATGCTTCAGCCCTCAGAAATTCTTTTGTGCCCCGTTATTTTATGGAGAGATTCTTGAATGGAGATAGACTTATATGTGTGTGTACAATGGACAGTGGTCAATGTTGTCATTAACGTATGTGTGACTACATTCTCTAGGTGAAACATCACCCTGCTACTCGGGAGAAGCCGAGGACGCACAGTCTCCCGATGAGGAGGTACTGTCTCCTTTTGTTATTTTTCTTCTTCTTTTAATATCTAACCATTGAGGGTT